GAAGAGGGGAACCTTTAACTTAAATTTCGCCGGAAAAAGAGGCAGTAATGGATAAAGACACTGGAGAAGTTCCTCGGAGATGAAAAACAGCATGACCGCACTGGGGAAGAGAGGGGGAGGCGTAGTCGGCTTGATGGACTTGACCGAGGAAGATAAATCTGGGCCTGTGGTAGAGGGCCCCAGATAAACTAGAATTTAATCGGTGCAATTCCTTTCTTTTGTTCTTAACGAGCTACAGAGAGTATTTGCTATAAAATTCAAAGCGTAGCTATATGCATTATAATTATTTTAAAATAATATTTTTATGATAACTATAGTATATAAGTTAGTTATACCATATAAATTTTTCTTAAAATACCCAAAACAACATCCACGAAGCCTTCTTAGGCCAATAACTACGTGCAAATAGCACAGACTAGTCAGTTTTCGGAATGGTCATTCAAAAATAGCCGGCGTTTGCTAAATCATTGAAAAATAGCCACTATTTTGCTGCAACAAAGATCGGTCCAACATAATTTACTGGAGTTCGGTGCACCTGTGTATGAACTTCCAGTATATTATGCTGGACTGATATACTTTGCTGGCTCCAGTATAATATACTGGAGTTTCAGTATATTATGCTGGAGTATTTTCCGGATTTTGAACAGTATTTTCGTTCAGATTTATCTTTACATGAAAATTAGCTAAATTTCGATGACTTTTGAAACGGCGGTTATTTTTGAATGACTACTTATAAATCTGACTATTTTTGAATTTCTCCCGATAACTACAGACTACTAAGTTGATCACCTAGCTATGAAGCACATCAGTTAGTAGCTACATACATTCACTTAAGACACCTACTAACATGGCTATTCAACTTATAAGTATCGATTTCTATTTACATCGACTTTAGCCTATAATATGTAATTGTAAAGCTATTTCTCTAACCTTCGACAATTACTTTCCATCCATATATGATAAACAACAGTTGCAAACATAAATGCCAAAATAGTAGACTTTGAGTTCCTGCTATTCACCCTGATGGAGAGTCAGTTAACCTCTTCCTTCCATTAGTCAATGTGCCTATTAATGCCTAGCTAGGTTAGGAGTTTCTGCCATAGGAACACGAAACGCGACTATTTCGGCTCTTAAATGTGCATATATAACACTCTCGTCGGCCTTTGCATTTTAGCCCATGTTTGTTACTCAACTAGGCCCAATAATTATCCATACATATGGGCTAAGACTTTTATTATATATTAAATTTAAAATAAAAATAATAAGTGCGGGGAGGGCAGAAAACTATGGTACCCCAGAGTGGGCAGGAGCTGGTTGAGTCCATATCGTCGCGTAGCAACAGCCACGTCCCTCCCCTACTTTTTCTTTTTCTTTCCACTCCAAAAAAACGAAATGCGGGAATTAAATCAATCTAGCGTAATGTTTCTTGCTAGCCATAACGTAAAAGGATAAGCTAAGCTCTACAAATAAGACAGCTACATAGAAAAGGAAAAAAAAAAGTAAAGAAAAACAATTTCATGCTGACTTTTCAAACTCCTTTAGTTCAAATTCAAAATGCTCAGGTTAACACATATTCACCAAAAGTTATTGAAACCTCTTTTTATCTTACAAATTTGTAAACACATATTTTATACTTTTGGGTTCATAAAATTTTAGGTATACAAAATTGTTTAACAAAAAAGAAGTCTTACACAACTAGTGTCAGTTGTCTGAGACATAAAATAATTTTTTTCTAAATCTATTGTCTGAAAGACTCATATTTATATAATTATTATTAAATCATTTTTTCTATTAAATCTATTAAATCAATTTTTTCTTCTTCTTTTATTTGGCCATAGTCTTATTGTTTACCACTGAAGGAAAAAGGAAAGATGAGTGAAGACCAATTAAATTAGGTTAGATATTTTTACTTAAAGATTAGAAGAGAATCAGGGTAGGAGTGCTATAAAAGATTTTACCTAACTACTTAGGCATTTGTTTAAAGATCAGAAGAGAATCAAAGTGGAAGCGTGGGGAAGATTTTACCTAATAATTCTTTTAATTTTCTTTAAATAGAATGACAAATATCTGTAAAATCAAAATAAAATGATTAACTGCAAGCTTATAGCTAAATTCAACTAACAAAACCTAACTTGGAAACAGGAAATAATACTTTTACAGGCCATCAAAAATATATATGGACCAAAAAAAGTGATGAAAGACAAAAAAGAGTAGTTCAAGATAACACAAATCCACTTTAACCGCTTTCCTTCCCAAATAAATTACCCATATATTCTCTCTTCTCTCTCGTTTTTCATTTTTACCAAATATCCAAACCCTAATCTGAAGCAATCACCGATTATCTCAAAATTGCTTCTGAAATTCGCCGGTTCTTCAAATCGGATACGGAGTGTTTCCATATAATTTTCGTTGCTATATTCAGGTAATTATCCTTTTCTTTTTCTTAAAAATATTTCATATCCTATTTCTTACGATTTTTGAGGATCTATGCGATTTGCAGCTTTGATGAGGTTTTTTTCTTGCAAAATTGGTACTTCTTTTAATAGTTTTGGTACTTGCGTAAAAATTATTTGTATTATTCAGAGTATTCAGGATTACTTGTTTGGATTAGTTGGTGGATGGTAATGTTTGTTTCTTTATTTATTTTCTTTTTGTTAAAACTAATTTTGATGTAGAGTGAAGTGTCATTTTTTCCCTCAAAATAAATTCAGATGATGGATCGTTGCTAATGGGTCGATTTTGAAAATAAAAAAAATTCATTGATGTCATGTATTTTGGTGTTATGAATGCTTAATTTGATGCAACTCTTATTGTAGTTCTATTCGAGTCTGGTTTCAGATAGGATATAAAGATTCAGTAATTGTTGTTTGCAGGCTGATGAACATGATTTCTGATCAGTTAATGGATTTTGGACTTAGTTATTTGTTCTGTTTGGTTTTCTTTAAAGCTATGTCATTCTAGTATGAAATTTTGTCTTTATATATTTTGTATGCGTTGGGCTTTTAGAGAATAGAGCTTCATGTTAGTTCATTGAGTGTACCAGATTGAATATCTGTTTATATGTTAAGGGCGATTGATGCAATACCATGTTCTAGTGCTTCTGGTTATTCATTTCATTTTGCTTAGTTTTAGTTTGTACTGATCTTTATTTTTTATTTGATCAGGGATTATGGCTCTTGCGCAGACTTACTATTCACAAGGTGGCCCTTTTCGTGGAGACTCTACGTCCTTTTATGGTAGAAGCCAGATTAGTGGAAAACATTCCTCAGCTTACAACCATTATAACACTGTTGTTAGCCATCTTTTTAGATCTAATGGTTCCCATGACTTGAGTAGAAATTTTAGCGAGTATAGCTATGGTTATGATAATTTCGTAAAGCCTGAGGCTGGACCTTCTTTGAAGAGGAGGAAGTGTTCAGCTTCTGGTTGGGCAAGCAGTGGCAGGTACTCTCAAGCAACCAATTCATGTAACGATGTTCCTTCAAAGCAGCCAAGCACATGTAATGTTCCTTTGAGGAATTCCAGAGCGTATGATGATGCACATTCAGCCTGTAACAACAACTCAGCCATTACTACCAGTACTTCTAGACCTCGTTCTGATGCAAGCGCACCCACGAGCTCTAAGCGCGACCGCTCATGGCTTGAGTATACTGAAACTGATAATATCTTTATGTCTAGGGAGCAAATTGATAAGTGCTCCCCGTCCAGGAAAGATGGTATTGATGCAATGCATGAAGCACATTTGCGGTACTCGTATTGTGCTTTCCTCCAGAACCTCGGAATTCGCCTGGACCTGTAAGTTCCTTTTGGGATTTAATAAATTGTATCTTACACATTTTTGCAATTTTTAGTTCAAACAGGCTCTGAAGCTTTTGGGGTTTGCCTTCTCCTAGTTTCTTCAGGAGGATTGCCAGCATAAGTTGCTTGATCTTATGTATTTGTTATCTGATGGAACTAATAATTATTTGTACCTTCTTGCAGGCCACAGACCACTATTGGAACTGCCATGGTTCTATGTCACCGCTTCTTTGTGAGGCGATCACACGCATGTCATGACAGATTTGTGAGTTCCTTGTTTTATGTACTAAAAGTTGCTATATTTTTGCTCCTCTAATTTTTCCGCTTCATTATGTCCAATGCCCGGCTAATTGTTAGTATTTTAATGCTGTTTGCAGTTGGTTGCTACTGCTGCACTCTTTCTTGCAGCTAAGTCAGAAGAGACTGCACGGCCTCTCAATAATGTTTTGAGGGCCTCATGTGAAATTTTCCACAAGCAGGATCTTGCAGTTTTATCATATTTACTACCTGTGGTTAGCACTTCTGCTTTGTCTTTGTGCATCATTGATCATCATAATATCCTTCATTGGGCAAATTGTGAATCTTTGAACATACTTCTAATGCATATGGTGCTTTTTGGCAGGACTGGTTTGAGCAGTACCGTGAACGTGTTATTGAAGCTGAGCAGATGATACTGACCACTTTAAATTTTGAACTGAACGTGCAACATCCATATGAACCTCTTACATCCACCCTTGAAAAATTAGGGCTTTCTGAAACAGTATTTGTGAATCTAGCACTGCATCTTGTCAGTGAAGGGTAAGTTGATCAATCTCCATTATCATTGATAATGTGGTTCTGAAATCACAGTTGATATTTGTTGGAACCTTTTGTTTTATTTTGGCATTATTGTTTCTTTGCTAGAGGTCGTAGATTCCCCTAATAATACTAAATTGTTGATCAACAGGGATTCAAAGTTTCATGGTATCTGGATGATAAGATTTCATCTTACTTCTGACTCCTTTTAGATTTACAACTGCTTGTAGCATGTGTAAATATGGTTTTTGATCTCCCTTGACTGCTCTAGCTACCCATTCTGGCTTGTGATATTGATCTTTTGGATTGCCATATAATTGCAGGGTCTATAGAAGGATTAGCTTGCTCGTCTGTATGATATTTGCTGGCGGTTGATATGCTGTGCATCAAATGTTTTGTTTTACTAGCCATTTCTTGTGGATGCTTTTCCATGCTGACATCTTAATAGTATGGCCATTGACCATAGAAGAATGTCAAAGATGCTCGAGAAGTTTGCCATGATACTTTATGTTTTTCATGCTCAAATGGAACAACTCCATGTGGAGTCCTCATGCACTTTGTCTCTTCATGTAGCTTATTGCTCAGGTGTCCATGTAGGATACCAATTATTCGCACAGAGAATTCTATAATGGTTGGCGGTGTGTTCTTGACTGCCTAATGGTGGGGTATGGGTAGTCCAGTTTTTGGAACTGGTGAATACAGGTTTTATAAGTTCTTATCTTGTTTGAAGCAAAAAATTATTCCTAAAATTTGGTATAAAACAGAGTAACATCTTGAAGGATTAGTAACCTTTATGGTAGGGCAGGTCTGCCTAGACTATTGTTTTCTGTGTGATAATTTGGAAAGATTATGATGCCTCTGTAATTAGTGGTTGTACCATTTCTTGTTTCTTCCTCGACAGCATTGAATTGTCCTACCTCTATTTCTAAAGGATCCATGTTTTGGGGATTGTGGGTTTTGGTTCCCAGACTCCATTTGGTGCTCTCTCTATCCAGAAAATAACCAGAACATTCCTACTTTCTTCTCTCCTCTTGATCTTCTCTCTTTCGCTACAGACATATTGAATCTGGTTTTTCTAGTTATGCTGCATGTTATGCACATGTGCACTCCATAGGCACACTTGTAGCAGAATAAGTTACTGGCTGGATAGTTCATCATCTGACTAACAGATAAATTAGCAACTGTCTGCCTTTGTGTAGTCCCTGCTCTATTCCCTTGCAAATACCATCAATAGAATGATGTTGGAGGCTTGATTTCTGTCTTTTTTTTGGTTCTGTTATTCTTGATTTCTGATAAGTGATCTGACGATTCATATTTTCCATTTGGACACCGACTCAGAGGTAAAAGCTAGGGTCATTGCCTTGATGCTGTATGGCTAGCGCCCAATATTGGTGGTCTGTCTGGATGTGCTAGGATATTACAGTTCTTTTAAGTGGCAATGATTCCTAATGGGAAATCAAGTAGTGGTGTTAAATGTTAGTGTTCTAACTTCTGGTTACTTGATGGAACTCTATGTTGAAAGTCATACTGCAATCACTAGCAGTAGCAAGATGGGCTGGCAAAGTTGATGACAACAAGTAGTTTTTGGGTCAATGATAGGACGTGTTTATGTGTGTTTTGCCTTTTCCCCAGCTACTTGATAACTTCAAATCATTGTCGTAAGTTCTATTTTTTGTGTATACCCACACACATTTTACGTATAACACACACGAGCACAAAAAAGTTTTATTATTCTATGTATACCCCACACATATTTTACGAATAGCACACACATACACACACACACATATATATATATATATATATATATATATATAGTCAAAAGTCATTATTATACAACAACAAACCCAGTTGAGTTCCCACAAGTGGGGTCTAGAGAGGGTAGTGTGTATGCAGACCTTACCCCTACCCTGGGAGGGTGAAGAGGTTTCAAGTAGACCCTCGGCTAAAGACAAGATGAAAAGAAGCAGCGACAACAAGTGACAAAAAATTCATTATATTATTTATAAAAAGTACAGAGGTCATTATATTACTTAAAAAGTATACAGACACACACACACACATAAATGCTCGTCTTTCTTAGACCAAGTTCGTTGTTCGGAGCAGTGACCTTCACCAAAGTGTCTCGTGGCAAGCACTTGTAATGCAGAGAGAATTGCTATGCTGAGGTGGAGCTGTTATGTGTAAAATTTACTCATTAAATCTTTCGCACTGTTTTACTATCTATCTATGTACCTATATATTACTTTTTGAAGTTTGAGGACCACAGTGGCTTGAAATCATTTCTATGCTTATCAAACTTCGTAGTAGAAAATTTGTTCACTCTATGAAGTCAAATTTGAAGAGCTCTTTCGAAACTAATAATTTGATAAGCATATTACTCTCAGAGACAACACACACTCAATAGATATCTATAGTATAGATCCAGAAGAGGTGTAATCCTTGAAAGTTATAGGATGACTTCTCTCTTTTCTTATTGATACTTTTTTTGGAAGTCATTATGAATTAAACGGCTGTAACATTCAAGTGTTACTTCAAATGAGGAAACTTCACTTCTCTGTGCCCTCTTTCTTCTCCTTTTGGCTCGCTAAGTGGATTGGGCATCACACTTTCGGAGATTATGGGATGGCAGACTGACAGACTCTGTAGTTGGGCAAAATGCCTACTTATTGGTAGATAATGTAGTTGTAGAGGGCACTAATTTTCTAAATGTTAGTGTCTTCCTAACATCTGGCAGTGGTTAGCTAATTTTTGGGTTTCCTGTTTAGGTTTTTAGCAATAACTTTCTGGCAGGAAGGGTGGCGCCTGTTTACTGTGTGATTCTGTTAGCTCCTTCATGGTAGATAGAGCGAATAAGTTTCTGGTCAAATGTACTACAGTACGAGTGAAACTTAGAGTGAGGGTCAAAGCTGGCAAGTCCACAAGTTCTATTGTCTTTCATCTGGTATGGTAGTGAAAAAGAGTGCAACAGTTGAGGCTTGTGTCCGTCTTGTTTTGGTATATGAGGTACATATATTTTTGGGGTTATACTGCAGCAGCGGAGCTGGGAGTAGGAGTTGATGCTATCTAGATGGGTACAACATGTTTATTATATATTTCGTTCTCTCTCAACATTGTGCAGAAGATTCTTGGATTTTTCCAACTCGGTTGCTGCTTGCTTAGTTGGTAAGAGAAAGTTGCCCCGGCTTGCTCTTTTAGCTTTTCCACATGACTCAAAACAATTGTTTAATGGATCTTTTAAATGTGTTAGACTTGTATTCTGTTCACTGTTTGGCCAATGTACTTTTTGAAAATTTATGGATCCCATGCTGTTCTACAAATGTGGCTAACAAAGGACATGCGTTGCTGCGGATGGTTTGTTTGCCTATCCATATAGTTTTTGGGGAAGTAGATTTTGGGTAGCATTAGTCATCTCCTATTCTTAGTAGATTTCCTTTTGCAGGCTCCGAAGTTCACTCTGGCTTCAGTTCAAGCCTTACCAGATTGCTGCTGGGGCTGCATATCTAGCATCAAAATTTCTGAACATGGATTTGGCTTCACATCATTCTGTCTGGAAAGAGTTTCAAACACCCCCGAATGTGCTTAGAGGTACACATTTATATCCTCAACATAAAGTAATAGCTAATTATTGGCTGCAGTATTTTGGCAAAAGATTTGATCTTAATTTATTTAGAGCGAGTTTCCTTTTCCACATCATAGTAAGAACCAATTGGATTGTAGTTTCTTCAATTCTGACTTTAATGTAAACATTTTTTAATTGAGGGGTGGTGGATTTTAAACTAAGTTCAAGTTCATGATGATTAGACCATAGAAACACCAGGCTCTGATCTGTCTGGATTGCACTGTTTTGTCCCTCCATCTTCACTATATAATTAGTATGAAAATCGAGATCTTACTTTCAATTGAAAGTAAACTATCATGTCTAACTAACTAAGGAATTGGACCAGATTTAGTTTCATCTACTACTTGTGGCTCCTCAAACAGAAAACTAGGTTTGACTTTAGATAATTGCCAATCTGTTCTGTTTGATTGGCAATTATTTTTTCAATCCCCAGAGTCCTTCATATCTAGGGAATTTACATTTTACTTACTGAATTTCTCTCTAAATGTTGTATTTGTTTGTGCAATTCACCTTATACATGCTTTTTACTGCAGATGTTGCACAACAGTTGATGGAGCTCTTTTAGGAGACATGAGAGACGACAGTAAACATCAGCAAAAACATAAAAAGACAATATCAACAATTTTTTGGGTCTTCACTTGGTAGATGTATTTGTAGATTCTACCATCATGCATAGGCTTAAAGATCAGTATATAGATTTCACTGGAATTTCTTAGTTTGAAATTATCTGTGGAGTGCTTGTCGTCTATACCTTATAGTTCATTCTCCGTGTAAATTGTTTTTCTCTCACTGCAAAAGTGTCCGTTAATTATTGAAATCGTTCTCTTTTACCTCGGTTTTAATGCTTATTCCTAGTTCATAACAAAGAGAACAAGTATCATAGATGTATTACGAGTCTCGCTCAATTATCATAGATGTATTACGAGTCTTACTCAGCTATATCAATGGATCTTTAAAAATTGACTAAATTGGCCGAATTGTACTGAACCAACTATTAAGTTTCTTTTAATAAAATCATAGATTTTTATATAAATTTATAACCGTACTGTTGATTAAGGTGGGTTTTTAGTTTTATACAAATAAATTAAAAAAATATCAAATTATATCAAATAAATTTATGTATACAATTATATTTTATATAGCTAGTTGAAAAATAACAAAGCATAAGATTTTTTACTTGGGCCATGGGATTATGGAAATAATTACAAGCTAACAAGTAATTAAAACTCAAAGTTCCAACTCCCAAACTTATTGTGCTATTCCTATTAAACCTAAATTAATTCCATCATCTTGAGTAGCAAATCACAAGGTATTCTAGCGATCTTGGGTAGCAAGCTATGCAGTATTGAATATCTTGGGTAGCGATCTGGTATAATTTAGATTTCTCTTATTTAATATGTAATCTTCTAATAGACTCTATTTTCGAGTTCCATCTTGATTAATATCTTCCCACTTGTGTGATTGATATTTGCCTTGTCTTTGCATAATTTCTTTTAAGGTGCAATTACAATAGTGGAATGGATCTTTATTCTAGCATCTTTCATATTTTCTTGATTCATCGTCTTTTAAATAGTAAAAAATGTCTAGAGAGTTATTGCGTTCTAACTTTTATTAGCGACTCTTACATGACATTCAAGGAAAATACCGAAAATTCACCGAATCGTACCAATACTGAAGAGCAATCAAAATGAGTTGGGATGGTTTCGAAAGTCTAATTTTGGATATATAAAATAGAATAATAAAAAAATTGGTGTGATATAAATTTTATAAAATAAACGGCCGAACTGAACCATTGAGACCCCTGGTCTGACTAACTCTCTATTTGGATCATTGTTACCTATCGTTTTATAATGTATTGTATTGTATTGTATTATATCGTATCATTTTATGAATACAACGTTGGTCTGAATAACTCTCTGTTTGGATCATTGTTACCTATCGTTTTATAATGTATTGTATTATATCGTATCATTTTATGAATACAACGTTTGGATAGATTGTATTGTTTGCTATTGTTAAATAACATTTTGCTGTTTGGTTTGACTGTATCGTACTGTACTGTAACTGATAAGTTTACTAAAATACCCTCAATTGTTTAAATATTAAATTTATCAAGAATTACGCATAAAAATAATTTAAGAAAATCTCTTTCTACTAATTTATCACCAAATATGTCTTATAAATAAATTAAGCAATTAAATTCATGCAAATTCTAAAAAAATTAGTGAAACAAGTTAATAATATTAAAAATAATAATAAGTACACTCCAAAAAACTAGATCATAATAATAAAACAAAAAATAAAATGTTAAATAACTATGATAAAGAAAGGAACGAGAATTGGCGGAACAAAGATAATTAGCAGTATTTTAAAAGGCGTTTTAGGGGCGAGCCCCGGGGCGATGGTGTGGGGCGAAAGTCTCAAGAGGCGTATGCCCAGCAAATCGGGGCGTACTCCCGGACGTTTGGGGCACGTTCTTTTAGTGAGGCGTAAGCCCCAGAGATTTTTTCAAATTAAAATAAAATTTATTGAATAAGTCCTTCATATAATACCCAAATTCTCAAAATTCAGCTTGGTAATTACACAAGTTTTAAAAGAGGAACTGGAATGTATTAAATTTAAAAGTCAAGACCTTTTTTATTGATTGAAGCCCCAATTCATGATCTTTCCTAATTTTTTATCTTGTCCGCTAGTCTGCTAATATCTTCCAAAAGCAATGAATATTCAATTTTTTTTACAAAAATAAAGAGAACTCCATTCTCGTTTATAGCAGCAGGTTCAAAGTTCAAATTGCAGGTTAGTTATTTTTTTTGTTCCTCCATGTAGAAAACTTTATTCTTTTCGACTCAAGTTACTTGAGCTTCTAAGTAGCGTATAATAGATTGTTTTGACTAGTTTTTTGTGGGGATGAAGTACACACACACACACACACACACACACACACACACACACACACACACACACACATATATATATATATATATATATTCTTCACATATTTATAGTTTTCTTCATTTTTATGTAATTTTATCTGTTTATAAATATTTACTGTAATTATAT